TCAGTTATTTAATTAAATTTTTTTATATATATATATTTGTATTAATATTTAAAAAAAAATACAATCAGAATGTAATACTATTTTATATACTTTATAATATTATTTTTTGATTATATTTTAAAAAACAAGTAATAATTTAATACACATACTTTTTAAATAATATTATTTAAAAACATTTTTTGTAAAGTAATGTAATATAAATCTATTTTATATTTTACTTTAAAAGTAAAGTTTTCTTTTCTTTTTAACAGGGACGGAGCACATTAATAAACCTTCAGTAAAGGTGTCCCTGAACAGACACAAAACATAGCATACACAGTTAATTAAACCATAAATTAGGTTTTATTAGCCTACCTGCGCAGTCCTTTGGTAAAAGCGTACATCTGCCGAGCTTTACTGGCTGCTTCCTGTTGGCTCAGTTGGTGATTGAACTGCAAGAGCAGTCGCTCTGCAAACGGCTGGCCGGCCCCATAAATCCGTCCGTAGTTGAAGACCTTGGCGTGTTCACGACTGATGCCCACAGCATCTGCGGTGCGGCTGTGCAGGTCCGTGCCCTGACTTTTCTTTCCCTGGAGCGTCATCCATCCAAACGCTGTGCATCCTGGAAATCAGAGATTAAGAATGACCTATGGGGTGCAGATTGTCCCATAGAAGCATTATGGCATCTAATGGCTAGGAAACAGCATCTGCAATACCATGCATTCCTGCAAAGTGTGCTTCGCCCACCATGGCAGCGATCCACAGCTCTTGGGAATCCACATCGGCTCCCACCAGGTGATAACCAGGAGGCACCTGCACCATGGCCTTCAGCTCACTGCCGACACGGTCTTTCTGCAGACAAACACAAACTGCTCAAAAGCCCATTTCCACACATATGAAAAAAACAATACTTTGGTAAATAATAATTATAATGTAAAAATTCTCAACTGAACTCAAATTTTATTTGTTTTTCGAAACCATACAAATTTACCAAAGTGCTGTAGATAAATAGTAGCCTGGTTCAACCAGACTCTAGTTCATTTCATTTCCACATAGAGTCTGGAACCGCTCCATTGAGAAACGTTTCCTTCCTTGTAGGCGGGTTCACTATTAAAGTTCAAATCTATTGGATCTGCCCAAAGTCACTCACGATCAGCCATAGCCAATCGCTAACGGGGTGTCGTTAGTGACGTATGTCACGCGCCGAAATGGCTGGAAACAACAAGTGCGAATGATCAGAGGATTAGGTTTACAATAGCCAGGATTTCAGTCAACGAGCGCCGCAGGTTTTGTTACTCTAGGAACAATTATTAATTCGAAATGTATATTTGACACGAAGGACAGTGATGTATACATTCAACGGTGGAAGCTGTCTAATCATTAAAAATATGACGCTGTGGTTGTTTTCTGATCTGCCGCAAATGCTGTAGCAGCTACAGTGAATGATCAGTCTTGTCTCTATCTGCAGATGTGATAATAAACAACAATTTTTCATATTACGTCTTATTGTTTCTTAATTACCTTAATTATGGTCTTCAAAGTATGTGTTTGTACATTTTTATGTGGCATTTAGTTTTTTTAGTAAAACAAATCAACCATTGCCATCTAAAACTAAAAATCAAATATCTTCAAAGTATGGTTTTTAACATTTTTATTTATGACAATTATTTAAAAAAAATCACAACCAATTTGTATGATTTACAACATGTAAAACTGACACACCAACCTCCTGCACGAGTGCACAAAGGGGCTCAAAATGTTCTATTCATCACAGGAATCAGTAAATATACAGTTGGGAATATGAGTGACTGACATGACTCCTGAGCGGATCTTCAACCATAGTTGAAGTCAACCACCGCGAACACCAGGCTAAACCGTCCGTCCAAAATGTCACGGTCATCGTGCACGAGCTGCCCAGCACAAACTTCCAAACTTTCGTTGTGCAACAAGAGGTGAGACGATAACAATCCGGCTTTAAATTCTGTATATTCGGCAGTTTCTTTTCCAACAACGGGCCGAATAGCTTTTCTCCGTCTTTCTCCGCTGCCATTACTGAACTCAAACTGACGCGCTTACATCAACGTCATCGTTCTCAGCCACTCCCTCTATTCGCTGATTGGTCCTACAAAAAATTGATTTCTGGAAACCTAAGGATATGGAGCGATCCCAGGCGCAGTACTGAAGTAAAATGAAATTGAGCGGAAGTGCGTAGGAGGGCGCAGCCAGGCTAGATAAATAGTGTATATAACTTTAAAAATCAAACAAACATAAAATAACACAGATAAGTCTAATTTAGATAAAATAAAGATAACATTTTGGGAAAAAGTAGAAATTATGAGATACTACATCATAATGTCGAAATTGACAGTGTCAAAATAACGACATCCTAAGTCATAATGAGATCAAACATCAAAATTACACCTTAAGTTGGAATTGTGGCAAATTTTTTGTCATAATTTTGACTTTTTGTCATAACTGACTCAGTTTATCTTATAATTTTGAGTTTTTTGTCCATTTCAATAACCTTTATGTCATTAATTATGATTTCCCAAAGCAAGATTTTTTTCTTATGTGGCTGATATGATAGATCTAAATGAACTGTATAAAAAACAATATATATAAAAAAAGTATAATCTATAATGAAATATACTAAATAATACAAAAATATATATTATATACAGTACTGATCAAAAGTTTGGAATAATTAAGATTTTGTTTTAAGAAGAAGACTTGAAAAAAAGTCTCATATCCTCACTAAGGCTGCATTTATTTGGTTAACATTATTAAATACATTTTAAAATGTAATTTTGTCCTGTGATGGCAAATCTGAATTTACTGATCCGACATTTATTTGAAATAGAAATCTTTTGTAACACTATAAATGTCTTTACGGTCACTTGATTATTTTAATGCAACCTTTTTGAATAAAAGTTAATTCACGGTTTCCACAAAAATATTAAGCAACAAAAATAGTGTTAATAAATGTTCCCTGAGCAGAAAATCAGCATATTAGAATAATTTCTGTAAGAACATGTGACACTGAAGACTGGAGTAATGATGCTGAAAATGCAGTTTTGTTATTTTAAAGTGTAATAATATTTCACAATTTGACTATTTTACGGTATTTGTACCAATCTTTTTGACTAGTAGTGTACATATTAATAAAATAGTTAATTTAAATAATGAATTATCTCAATAATTGTGAATTGTCATTTTTATCGGAGCGAGCGAGCACTGCACTCCGCTGTAGTTGTGGTACCTGAGCGTTGCTTGCTGTCAGCCACGTGGGTTCGACAGCCCTGCGAGTGACCGTTCCAGCTGGGATGACCTGCGGCAAAATGGCACCATATTTCCCTTCCTCATCAAAGTCATGATGTCTGATGAAGGAGCGAAGAGAATGTCAGACGTTGCAAAGTTTGTATTCAAATGAAGAAGACACCAGAAGACGCTGTTAACTTACAGTCTGACGGCGCGCGGCAGTTCTGCCCGGCGGAGCCACACTACCATTTGGGACCTGCAAAGAGAGACAAAACAGATGAAATATCAGCTGTAACGTTTCAAAATGTTTATAAGAGCACATTCGAAAGTCTCAAACCTGATGCGTTTTTGGGCATTTCTCCAGAAGGATATCATCTTGTTGATCTCTAGCGCCCGTGTGGCGTTGGTGCCTTCACGTCCAGCCTGAAGCGTACCGCTCTCCATTTTGGACAGGAAGTCTTTTGAGAATGGACTGCCCACATTGTTCTCATTTCCGTCCTGTGATTTTAAAAAAATTGAGTTTAAAGATTTAATGACTGCATTGCACAAAGTGGACAGAAACACAATCCTGTACCTTATGAGGCAGTTTGAAGAACCAGCAGCCAGGGATGTTGACATCATTGTATGGTCCATTTCCATGGTGATAGGGACACTCGCTGTTCCCGTTTTCGCTTAATGAATTTTGTTTTTTCTAATGAGCAAATAAAGGTAATATTACAACAAAAGTTCACCCTATAAAAACATTTGCAAAACATTTTTATTTTTAATTAATATTTTAAATAATAAAAATGTTATACTATTTAATATATCATATGATATGAATACTTTTTAACTTTTTTAATATTTTAATCTTAGTCTATAGAAATATAAAAATGTAAATAGAAAAAATGTAAATAAAAAAGTATATAGAAATTTAAAATGTATTACTTAAAAATATTAAATAATACAAAATATATCAGACAGTAAGTTATCTAATATATAATTAAATTTTTTAATTTATATTGTTCATAATATTTTCATCATAGTATTATATTATGAAAATAATATTACAATATAAAAAATATTAGTTTGAATTGAATTAGAAATATCATTCATATTAAATGATATACAGATACTATTAAATTATAATATATCATATAATTTATGTTTATATTTTTTGATAATATTTCAAAATATGAATTATAATTTAATACTATTTAATATATCATCCGATAATGATATTTAAAAATTTAACTCAAATCAAATTTAGTTTTCTAATAGGGCTGTCAAACACGATTAATCGCATCCAAAATAAAAGTTTGTGTTTACATAATATATGTGGGTGCACTGTGTATAATTATTTTTTATATATATAAATACACACACATGCATGTATATTTAAGAAAAAAACATTATTTATATATAAAATATTTATATTTATATATAATATAGATTATTTATAAATCTCTATATAGTATATACATGAAAATATTTCTTAAATATATACAAGCATGTGTGTGTATATATATATATATATATATATAAAATAATTATACACAGTGCACCCACATATATTATGTAAACACAAACTTTTATTTTGGATGCGATTAATCGCCCTATTTTCGAAATATCTTCTTCTTTTTTTTCTTCTTTTTTTTTGTTTTCTTTTTGGTTATCATAAGGTTTAAATGAAGCGAACCTTGATCCTCTTGGATGGGCCTGCTGTGCTCAGCACTTCATCATCAAACACCTCCAGTCGACTCACTTCTTCAACCTACACATGCGACAAAAACATGCAGATACTTTCACAGAAAATACCAGCCCTAAAAAACCCTGTTTAGTAACACAGCAAAGCTCTGACCTTCTGCCACACGGCACTGTCCGTCAACATGAGGTCATCAGAAAGTGTGCTGTCTACATACTGGGGCTGCTCCTTCCCCTTCCGCTCACAATACTCCTTATAGATGCTCTCAATTGCCCTGGAAACCAAATTTTAGGAAGGATGATGTCAAGCCACAGTATAATTTCCTAATAAACACATTAGTATCCTCACTTTATTTTACCTGTATGGACATACAGGGCCTTCACTATCCTCTGAGATGTCCAGGTTATCTCTGCGGCCTGGTACCAGGTAACCCCAGCCGTGCTGGTCGGTGTAGTGCAGGGGAAAGCCGTCCCACGTGAGGCCCATCAGCTTTGGCGTGATCCTCATCTGCAGACTAATGAGACTGGGTCCAGGAATCCAGTCCTCGGCCTCAGACATCTTTACACATAGCTTACGGTACCAGCTGACAATAAACAACATACAAAATTTGTTATACGAACCCTGTGTTATTTAACCCAACTGGGATCACGTGGGGCGGCACTCACCTGGGGTGGGCCGGTAAGTGCTGTCTCCTCTTTGGCAGGCAGCTGACGGTCTCCTTCAGTCTCTGTAAAAGCTCTCTGCTGGGGTGTGAATCAGCCTCAGCTTCTGAAGGAGGACCTGGGTCTGGAACAGAGGGTTAATAACGCTATTATTCGGTTCCGCACGATTTGATCAATTAAAGGTGCAGTAAGCAATTTCTGAGAAATGCTGCTGAAAATGTAACCCTTAAATGCATGAATGTTTGCCAATCATTTAGTGACCCGGATCTGTATCTAACATGAATGGATCTCTACCTGTTGCGATGATATAAAACTCTCCTGATATTAGAGTACCAACTCCAGAAGAATAAAATAAAGCATATTTTGTTGTATATTTTATTACCAAAGAGGAAACGGTCAGATGAATATAATTGGAAGAAGAAGGGTTAAAAGGGGGACAGTACAGACATTTATGTTTTAAAAGATTTATTTCAAATAATTTTTTGAACTTCCTATTCATCAAAGAATTCTGCAAAAATAGATGCATCAGGGTTTCCACAAAAATATTAAACAGCACAACTGATTAATAATAATGAGAGGCACTAAATTAGCATATTAGAATAATTTCTAACAGATTATAGCCATGTTTCCATCGACACGTTTTTATCCGAATTAAGTGATATCGAATGAAAAAAGCCTTATGGAAAGAGTAAAATTCGATGAAATTTCATGAAAATCGACTCAAATGAAATACGTTCGGTCTCATCGAATTTTCTCTTGATCGATATACGGCTAATGCGATAAAAGCTGATGGAAACGTTATTTGCCAAATAAATAATGAATTGCGATTAAGTTTTATGCCCTTTTATGGTTGCAACACGTCAGAAGACGAGTTCATTTCCGGCAAGTCTGTTTGCGCACACGTGGCGGATGTCAACAAAGACAGATGTAAGTGGAAAAAGCAAAAAGATGCTTCAACCAAAGGGTTTCCGTGAACCACGATCTCCCTGAACTGATTGAGCGCTCGTTCCCAAACCACAGTCACCTCCGCTGTCGTCAGGCATACGTGCATCGGCATCGCATCATCATAGCAATGTTTATAGCGTCGCTGTTTTCTTGGGTTAGTTTTGCTAACGTGGCTTGGTTGAATTCTAATGTAGAATGCGGTCTGTTATTTCTAGTTAACAGACTGCGGCGCTGCTAGTATAACACACCGTTGCCATGGACGCAGTTCAGAGACGGAACAGACATTTTCTTTAGCAGAAGCAATACTCGTTTTTAAATCAATAAACTCGTTTTTAAGTCAATATTTTGTGTCAAATGATTGATTTATTTATATGTAATAAGCAGGATAATATATAGCGAGGCGGTTGTGAGGCGAATACAACAACCGCCTCGCTATACATTATCCCATTCATATGTCGCTATCAGCTGGCACATAAGCATTATTAGCCTTCAACTTGTGAAATATTGATCATTTTTTGGTAGATGGCGCGATCCGTTTTGTCTAACAAAACTTTGTTCACAAAAGTTTGCTTGAATGTTGTTCGATTCAGTGCGAAAATAAATGGAAACACCTTAAAATGTCTCAAATCAATTCGATATACCAATTTGATCGCAAAACAGCATGTGACGTCATTACGTACAGGTTTTTATTCGCTTTAAAGCCGTTGGATGGAAACACACTTTCACCAGCTTTATCCGCATGAGTTTTTTAACCGAATTTCAGATAATTCGATTGACAAGTGGATGGAAACATGGCTTATGTGACATTGAAGAAAAAATACATATAAAAATATATTCAAATAGAAAACAGTTATTTTAAACTGTAATAATATTTTAAAATATTACTGTTTTTACTGTATATGTTGCTCAAATACATGCAACTTTGGTGATCAAAGAGACTTCTTTCAAAAACATTTTTAAAAATCTTACCGACCCCAAACGTTTGGACTTTAGTGTATTATAAAGAACTAAAAGTGAACTATTCAAACATTTCAAGAAAGAAAAATATTGTTTCAAGCCAGCTACTGCAAAATCAGAACCAAATGTGTTCAAAATGTTCAAGCAATGATATATCTTCATAATGCAAGATCAAATGTGCAAATGAAAAACCCTTACCCTCGTCCCAGTCTTTGGGGGCATTTTGTTTGGCTGCTGCTGTTGCCTCAGCCTCCAGTTTGGCTTTCTTCTTGCTTACAGGGATTTTCTTCAGCTTGAAGTCCAGAACGTCCCAATCCAAATCCCACAGCCAGGGATCATCTTTGTACCTGAACAGCAGACCACACCAATAATCACTAAATAATGGATTATTGAGCACTAAAACTGTAAGCATAATCTATTTTACACTAGTCCAATTATAAGCAAGCAAATAAAGAACTGAATGATCTGGGTCATGAAAGGGTCAGGAAACCCTAAACCAAATTTCCTAAATGTATATATTGCGTTACGTGTCATGCTAAATTGCAGTGTGCATTTGTGGGAAACTTTGATGCTTTTAACTCAATGAGACCGAAATACAACTGTATGAATCGGTCTCCCATCTTCCCTCTCCACTCCACGGCTTACCACATCCACTTCTCAAGACTGTGGTGAGTACTGACTGGTGCTGAAACAGGGGGTTTAGTGAACCTTTAAGGGACTCTAATGGATATTATGAAAAAAAGAGGTGAACTAACGCATGTTTACCGATCATCCTCCAATAACTTGCAGGTGTCATCAGCCAAATTCATCAATGATTTCTTCATCTCTCTCTGCAGTTCATCATAAGTGGCCTGAGCATCTTCCAAGTACCGCCCCCAGTTCTGATTGACAGGAAGGTAGCACACGCCCATTTCTAGCATACCCGCAAGTGTCACTGGGTGAGGACACCTAGAAAAATGCAGATTTGACAGGTCACAATATGTCACAATGAAAAGTTGGGGGCAGGATTATGTAAATAAAGTAGAGCCAGACCGATTTATCGGCAGGTCGATATTATCGGCCGATTTTAGGCATTTTCCAAACTATCGGTATCGGGAGTTATAAGTGTTGAAGTTGTATAGTTCGTCCACCAGAGGGCACTCTACACCTTCCCTGTTGGCAACACGCGCCACACATCCTGCAACCTGCTGATCCAGGTTGCAGGTAGCTTATAAGGCAATGTAGGCTCTTATTATTATTTTATTTATCATAACTTTAATATATTTTGATGTTCCTCTGTTCTGTTGTGACAATAAAAGAAACAAGTTTCTTTTTAAAATGCATTATCATATTATTTTAGTTAAAACTCATAAATAACTACAAATAACTAATGTTAGGAAAATCTGTTCATGTTTTGTTGCGCGTTTATGAAAAAAATAAAATAAAATAAAAATATCGGCCGATATATCGGATTTTCAAACCAACAAATATTTGTATCAGTATCGGCCTTCAAAATCCTTTATCGGTCGGGCTCTAAAATAAAATGTCATACCTCTCCATAAAGAGAGGCAGCTGCTCTGTGAAGACCTCGTGTGTGGCTAAAACATCAAGAGCACAGTACTGCATCAGCTCCTAGAGCATCAAATAAACAGATTTCAGACGCAGCCTTAGTGTTTACATCTGAGAAACCCATGCTCGTCCAGCTGACCAATCAGAGCTGTGCTTTTCAGAAGACGAGGCTTCATAGAGGCTGGAACTAAACAGAGCGTTACTGACAGCATCAAACATTCAAGCATGAAAACCTATTCTAGTAGACCCCCCAAAAAACATGGCCTCTTTAAACATCCTGCTTACCTGAAAATTGGTCCTAACATCCGACATGCTGCCCTTCACAAACACATCCCTCGGTTCTTTCTTCAACCGCTCTCCTCCCACGTAGAGAGCGTGGACATCAGCAAGGTTATTAATGCTACTGATATCAACCCATTCCCATGAGCCAATCTGCATGAGGAAATGCATACAGTTTAATAGTGTCTACAGCACTGTAAACGGACCAGAGCTGCGAGGTTTGCACAAACCATCGGGCCCTCAGGGCGACGGCCGAGGCGCTTCATGTGCTCCTTCACTTCCTGTAGGCCTTTTCTCTTGCCATACTTGCTGGCCATCCAAAGCGAGCGCTGGAATCCCGTCAGCCCTGAGATCGCCATGTGGAGACTCATCGTGTCCAGGAAACGCATCTTGGAGCCCTGCACAGACCAACCACAATCATGTTTGTTATCAGCCGATATTAGAGATTTTTGTTTAATTTATCAGTATCAGTTAATATTGGATATTTAAATGTGCATGTAAATTGTGCATGTTCACTTGTAGTTAAAGGGATACTCCACTTTTTTGGAAATTGGCTCATTTTACCACTCCCCCAGAGTTAAACAGTTGGGTTTTACCGTTTTCGAATCCATTCAGCTGATTTTCTGATATTTAGAAGAATATCTGTAACCAGACAGTTTCTGGTCTCATTGACTTCCATAGTATATTGTTTTCCTACTATGGAAGTCAATGAGACCAGAAACTGTCTGGCTTCTGAAATTCTTCTAAATATCAGAAAATCGGCTGAATGGATTCGAGAACGGTAAAACTCAACTGTTTAACTCTGGGGGAGTGGTAAAATGAGCCAATTTCCAAAAAAGTGGAGTATCCCTTTAATCTTAACAAAAACCTATAATTTTATATATGATCTTTAGCAAATCTAATTAATTACATATAACAGTATTTATTCATATTAAGAGTTAGCTTTTATTTATATGTCCAGATATAATTTCAATTTGTTTAATTTTTAGTCATTTTGTTATGTGCTTTTGTCTTTCATATTTTATTTTGTCATTCAGAAGTTATTTTATTTCAGCTTCAGCAATCAGCACAGATTTTTAATAGATTTAATTTTATTTACCATTTAACAGCACAGCAGAGATTCCTAAACTTTTTGTCATCCAAACCCTTTTTTTACAAAAGATGTTTTCTTGAAGAACCACCTGAGATTTTAAGGTAATATTTCAATAATTTAAAGGAGTACTACTTTAAAAAACACTTTTGCTGATAATTTACTCACCCCCATGTCATCCAAGATATCCAAGTCTTTCTTTCTTCAGTCGAAAAGAAATTAAGGTTTTTGATGAAAACATTCCAGGATTTTTCTCCATATAATGGACTTCAATGGGAACCAAACGGTTCAAGGTCCAAAAGACAGTTTCAGTGCAAACTGCAAACTGTTCAAAGGGCTTTAAACGATTCCAGACGATGAATAAGGGTATTGTCAAACGAAACGATCGGTCATTTAAAACAAAAAATAACAAAGTTTAAGTTTTATAAGCTCAAATGGTCGCCTCGCTCTGTTCTGTGATGCACGTTCGTTACTCTCCTGTTCGAACTCGTTTATCAAAATGAACAAATCTTTTTTCGTGTCATTTGGTTCATTCAACAAACGAAATTAACGAACAGAAGAGTCACGAATCACAGAACAGAGCGAGGCGAGTCGGCGACCATTTGAGCTTATAAAACTTAAACTTTTTTTTTAAATGAGCGATCGTTTAGCTTGATAAGACCCTTATTCATCGTATGGAATCATTTAAAGCCCTTTGAAGCTGCACTGAAACTGTCTTTTGGACCTTGAACCGTTTGGTTACCAGTAAAGTCCATTATATGGAGAAAAATCCTGGAATGTTTTCATCAAAAACCTTAATTTCTTTTCAACTGAAGAAAGAATGACATGGACATCTTGGATGACATGGGGGTGAGTAAATTATCAGCAAAACTTCTCCTTTAACAACACATGCTAGTCACATGACATGCAAATAAACAGATAAAATATTTAAAGTGGTTTATTATGATCATTTTATTTGTATTCTTTTTTATATTAATTTGATTCAATTAATTATTAGCTTTCTATCAACTTCAGTAGACCAATTTAGGCAAGCCTGCTGTACAATATAATGTTCTTAGCATTTTAGATTTTACAGTTTCATTTATCGTTTATGAATGTAGTATGTAATGTAGAATTTGAATATCCTTGCACCCTTAGAATCAACAGAAAAAGAAAGAAACATCTAAAACCAGACTCAAATGAGTCCTCACCTTCAGCAAGTACTGTTCTTTAATGTGTGACCGATCAAAGCTCACATTGTGTCCAACCACGAGCCTCTCCTGCCACTCTCCGCCCCGCGGCTGGCTGGAGTTTGCGGGAGTCTCCAGCGGGATGAGATCAGCCAGTGTCAGATCACTAGACCAGATGTATCTGTCCTCTACGAGCCTCTTACTGCACCACGAGTACCTGAAACACCAAATAGAAAAGGTTTTCAGGAATCAGTGGTGAAAAGAATGGTAAATACTGAACTGTTACGGTAACCCTCACCAGGCAGTTGGGGAAACCGCCACGGCCAACGTAGGACAGTGTCCCTCCGCCATGCAGACTTCCACATCAAACACAATAGCATTCTCATCTGGGAAATTCACCCTGTGCTGCTCTCCACCCGCCCCATACCGAGTCCAGCCCACTTCCCAGGCCCATTCCTTGGGCATCCCGGGAAGCCGTGCACCCTGAAGCTGGCTGGCCGCTTCAAGGTAAGGAAGGCTCTGCTTTTGGGCAAGTAATCGGAAATGTTCGTCAATGTCATTGCCGTATATTTGAGGTAATTTGAGTTGTACGTCAGGTAACAGGTCTGTTTCTTTCCCCCAGAGTCCATGTTGCTCTAAGTGTCTTATACTGCGCTTAACATCCTCGTCCATGTACACCTGCGTCCGGCCCTGGAATATCTGCTCCTGCAGGTTCCTGGAGAGCATCTGGATGTTGAGGGGGTTCAGACGGGTCTGGTCTGAGCCCTGCAGGGATTTGGGCTTCACTGAGGTGGAGCACCACCTTAACCAAACTGCAGGTTGTACGACGGTCTGCCACCGGTGATATATCAGACGGAGCATCTTATTAGGGCCTTGGATGAAACATCCTCAGAAGAACCTGGTGAATGAAAAACAAACACAGAAATGAATCTGACATAGCACAAATAACCATGTCAAGTTTGGCTATGTGTTTCCTTCGACTTAAAGATGTTGTTATTTGTGCAAAGCTTAATCATATTTCAAAGCAATGTGTCTTTTTAATTTAAAGTGTAATATAAATATTCATATATACATCTTTAAATTTAATTTGTTTTTATTATACAATGTTGTTATTATTATTGCTATTATTATGAATAATAGTTTATTTTTATTTTTTATGAGCTAAAATTTAAAGTACATAGTTGGGGCTACAATGAAAAGTTCGGTTTGATTTACTGTTCACATATATTCGAGGACAAGTATTTTAAATGGTTTGATTAAGCATGTTTCTTATGTTAATGTATTTAATCAGATAGATCACAAACTCATTTTTCACATTGACCGCCTTACTTCAGAATTCCTGATTAACCACCGTTGGATAAATATGACGCTGGCTGGTCGTCCATGCTACTGTACATGCAACCCTCTTTCTTTATAGTAACGTAAACATTTTGCTCCAAAATGCAGCAACTGACCCTAAACAGACCATAGACAGAAACAGACACATTCGGAAGCACACGCGCATACTACAACATCGCTTTCCGAAGAAATACTGTGTTTCTGCGAAGCTCGACTTGCCTCACAGCGACACCCAGTGATTTGGACAGCACAAAAATCCGAGACTACTTCCGCTTGGCTGTAGCAAGAATGGAAGTTTACCGTGCAGCGTCAGAATTACTGGTTTAATATTCATGAGATAACCATAAACATAGTAGGATTTATAATTTCGCTTTTTTCTACATCATCTTGTGATTTTTTCTGCCAGATAATAGTCTCTGATATAGTACTCGACATTTTCGTAATGTCTTTGAAGCGGCCTCGTGGCCTAATGGATAAGGCGTCTGACTTCGGATCAGAAGATTGCAGGTTCGAGTCCTGCCGGGGTCGATGTTTTCCTTGTGTATCTTATCCTATTTCTTATCGTTAAAAATGCTCACAGACGTAAACCACATTCTCAAGAAACAAATCACATTTACTGTAATAGAACAATAACCGTCTCGTGTCAGCCAGTAATGTTGCTGTTTTATGGGTCACTTCTTGGCTTTGATACATAGCCTACAGCATATGATTAGTTACAGATGCATTGATTCGTTTCAATTCAATCGTTTAAAAGAAACAAGACCTTATATTATTTAACTGCATTAATTTATCAAGTCGCTCTGGAAATATTTGTCTAGGCAACTTAGTCGAATTCAATGTCCAATACGTATTCTTACTATTGTCGCAAGAGGGCGCTATCGTCATAATAAATGAGCACATCTTAGAGACTAGGTCTAAATTGTAATTTTTTTATAACGTAAAATTTGTAATATAATATAATTATATTACATCATTAGCCTATTGCCTAATACTTAACCTAAACTGGAATAAAAAAAAATCTAAATGTTCTTTTTGTTTATTTAATAATATAAAAAACCTTTTCCCAAAAATAACAAGATATTAGCAGGTGTGTGTGTGTATATGTATATATATATATATATATATATATATGTGTGTGTGTGTGTGTGTGTGTGTGTGTGTGTGTGTGTGTGTGTGTGTGTGTATATATATATATATCACTGGAATAAAGCAACAAAGCTGATTAAAGCTGATTAAAATTAAAGCTGAGTCTTAAAGACTTGTATAGTTTAATCCTATAGTTTATATTAATTGTACAAGTATATAGTGAGTGGAACAAAACCATTACTTTAAATATTGTAAATTTAGAATGTTTGTCTTTATTCAGTCTTTATTCAGGTCATTCTCTCATGTCTTCTCCAGTGATTTAATATGTAGATTATTATGGGTTGAGTTCAGATTCAGAATGAGTAAATGTTCTTTCTTTTCTTTGCCAGTGTAGTCCTATAGAAGCCAGTTGAACAGATACTCTCTCAGCGGATGAAAGAGCCCTTGTTAGATCAGACCCTTAATTTTGCCAAGTGTGGAGCCCGTAGAAGAGGAGGGGCGGGACGTTTGCCTGTGTGTATCTGAGAGAGAGCGTTAGATGGGGAGGCATGTCTTTAGAGGGGGTTTGTGTCTTAAACAAACTTCTGTTAGTCCCTGCAAAAGCTACCCGGGGGGCTGAGGATACATTAAATCATCATGTTTAGGAGCTTAGGCACGACTCAGGCCGCCTGAATAGCCTGTCCAGGCCTTGAGTGATGCTATTCATGTTTGGGGGAGAGGGGTCGGGGGGTCAGGGGGGTTCACAGGCTCCGGCTCTATTGGTATGCTAACGTGCAGTGTGTATATATATCCTCAAAGATTGACAGAAATCCTGTGGAATAAAAGAAAATCAACAATTTTGGAATAAAAATACATTTTACATTTTAAAAATCTATCTATCTATCTATCTATCTATCTATCTATCTATCTATCTATCTATCTATCTATCTATCTATCTATCTATCTATCTATCTATCTATCTATCTATCTATCTATCTATCTATCTATCTATCTATCTATCTATCTATCTATCTATCTATCTATCTATCTATCTATCTATCATCTATCTATTTATCTATCTATCTATCTATCTATCTATCTATCTATCTATCTATCTATCTATCTATCTATCTATCTATCTATCTATCTATCTATCTATCTATCTATCTATCTATCTATCTATCTATCTACTGTATCTGTTATGGTCATGTGCTCAGTGTCATCTGCCCTCACTGGTCACTGGTCATTGGTCACTGGGGAGAAAGCGGAAAACTCCACTCAATTAGCAGTTCTTGACCTGTCATTGTGAACTCTGACCTGTGGCTTAGGTCCAGTTATTGTCCTCTAGGGAGCATCCAGCCGGTCCGTGTCCATCGGATATTCATTCATCCGGACTCCATCAAGTGTCCATTTAGTGCTCAGGTCTAAGGAGTCAAGGTCATTACCGGTAAAGAACCAAATTTCTTTTTACATATTTGTTTTTATTCATTTATTTTGTGGTTTTGTTTTTAGCTCTATATACTTTCCTGGAATCATTTAATTACTGTAATTTAGTCCATAAATGAAGATTACTAATTACTAAAAATATTTCCTGGAAATGTACCTAATTACAGTAAAACCCCAAAATGTAATGTGTAATGTGTGTGTGTGTGTGTGTGTGTGTGTGTGTGTGTGTGTGTGTGTGTGTGTGTGTGTGTGTGTGTGTGTGTGTGTGTGTGTGTGTGTGTGTGTGTGTGTGTGTGTGTGTAAAATGACAGGAAATATTAGTAGATTAGTTTGTAAATTCCTTTGTCATAATCAACCGATATTACAGTAATTTGACTATTTTTTTAAGGATGTGATTTGGATTTTTATATATGTAATATTCTAATTCTATCAGATTACATTTGTCTATGGTTGTAAATCTTGTCCATAGACAATCTTGTCTTCATGGGTGGGATTGTTCTTATTTCAACAAACTACAGATTTTAAAATTTCAAGATTTTACTGAACTATTGTGAATGAATGTGGATGATACTGAGCCACAACTCAGACAATCATTTTATTTTAAATAAAATGATTAGTAAAATATTTTTAAAGGCTTTAGTGTTCCTTATGTATACCGGTGTCCCCTCATATCTATACACACAAATACCCGGATTATTTTATCTGTGTGTCTGACTCGGAAATCCATTTTTTTGGCGAGAATTTACCTGGAATTTACTAATCCTACTATGGCGAAAGCTAAATTCTGAATAATAATAAAGTACACCTGACGTCTCTTGGTAAATCGTCCAATGGTTAAACGTTTTCTTTTGAATATTCATTTTATCTTTATTCTCGCAGATTTTGATTCGTTAATCGAAATTCGTAACCGTCCAATGGTGAACGTTTGTGTTTGAATACTAAGTAGGTCGTGCTGACGTTGCTAGGTATACTTTCAATGTTGTAGGTTTAGTTTATGAATATAAATTGTCAATCCTTCGCAATAGTAGGATTAGTGAATTCGCGTGTGGGATTCCTGGCACGTTTTAACTTCTGCTCGTCACATCTCTCCCATTCATCGGCTAATTAACACTTAATGCAAGCTGGTTTAGCGGTCACTCTCTCAGTCATTTGCATGGATGCACGAGGAATAAGAGAAAATTGATATAGCCTACACGGATAGAAAAATATAGCTTAGCCTACATGCTTTGTTGAAAATTTGTTTTCAATAAATATAAGCACACAAAAAATCCACATATCCAGTTCAGACCCTCAAATTTATGGTACTAAAAAAGACATCGTTTTCATGTCAAATTAAATCAGCTATATAAGGTGTTTTCCTATTTCTTAAAGGTGTAGGCTACCTAGCTAATCATTAAAAAAAATCAAATTTGGATTTGAAATCGAGTTAAAATAAAATATTTTACAAAACTTCGTCAATAAACCACAGATATTTAAAAGTGTTGCTGCTCATTGAAACTTGGAGTTTGATACGTTGATACATTGATTCTTATTCATATCATTCACGTTTGAACCACACTTATTTTATTATTGAATCATCAGTACAATACACTACAGAGAATAAATATTTTATTTATAGATATAATAAAATTAAAAAACATATTTACATATTTTGTAAAAATAAAAATGTGTGTGAAGCCTAAATAAAATGCGCATTATATTTCTATTTTTATAACCAGTCAGGGCAAAAAACATCAGGCTATATAAATGAATTAATTAATTTTACTCTAAAAGTTTAGAAATATGAGTATTTAAGCAACAGTAAAGAAATGCAGATGCAAAATAATGAATAATAAGACAGCTATGATTCACATGATCTAAAATAAAATACAATACAATTTTATTATTAAATACACAATACTTTTGCTTAGCCTACACACACATCATCATCATCAACATCAACACTAAACTTTCAGGTACTTGAGGCTCCCATTGTTCTCTCATGATGCATAGTCGATTTTCATCCCACAAGTGTGTATCCATCGAGTTCTGTAAAACAGAAACAGATCAATGCTTTATCAGAGGTGTGTTAACTTACAAAAACAGTGTTTTTTTTTTTTTAAATTGCATGGTCATTATTACTTATTAGTCAAAAGATAGGGCTCAAAACACAATCCCGTACAGCTTTACACAGACACGTAGAGAGTGATGATGATACAATTTTAATATTTTCACGTTTCCACGCTCATCAAAAGCAAAATAAATGATCCGTAATCAATTTCTTTCTCTCTTCTTCAATGAGGCTTTGTAAACAGTGTAAGCGCTCTGTCACAGTGTTCAAATATTATGCATAGAGGTTCCTGATGCCTTTCATTACCACAGGGGAGCAGCTTCAAGTCTTTCTCTGTTCATTTCCACCCTCTCCTCTATACGCGAGCTCTCGCTTTCTCTTTCTGCCCACACAATGTAGGATTTGTCCTTTTTTTCTTCCTTGTTGTTTTCCTCCGAACACCCTCTTTGGGCTCCATGCAGCTTATGCAAATGTCTCCTTTTATTATAGGCTGCCCGACAGCCACACACACACACATTCTTACACACAGTAATTCTCTTTCCGACTCCAACACACGCACCTTCAGAGCGTCGACAACCAATTACAAAACCGACAAGCGACTCCGGTCTTACT